TGAGGACATACTCCCATTTGTGATCTCAAAAAACACCAAAGTAGACTTAAAATATTAGCATTATTTCTTCATGTACTATGTCAGCACACACAAAAAATATTTCATTACTTTTGAGGTTTTACTGCTTAAAGAACAAATTGGGCTAACAGTGTCCCCTTATTGACACATAATGGAGAAATTCTTAAACTATATTTATCGAAATCAGCTAAATGTTGTAAAACCCCCAATATTTCAAGGGCTTTTAAAAAGGTTTATTTCTTCCTCTCACAGTCCAATGCAAGGTTCTTTGAAGTGGAGGAATGGAGCAGAAAAGTCTCCTCCATGTGGGTGTTTGGGTACTTACATCTGGAAGTTATGCCATCTTCTGGGACCCTGGGGTCACCCTGGATCCTCAGGCATGGGCTGGCAGAGAAGAGAGGGAGGGAGTGGAGGACAAAGCCTAATAGTAATAGCCATTGCTTCCACCCACATTCTTTTGGGCAGACTATAAGGGAGACTGAGAAATATAATTTAGCTGTGTGCTCAGAAAGGAGAAGAAACAAGTTTGGTCAGCATTCAGCAAGTGTCTGCGATATAAATTTAAATTAAAGATCACATATTAACAGCACGGAAGCTGAATGTTGCCCCCAGTTCTGAAGTTCCTTCAGGCTTGTAGCCAATCCTTTAAAAAATCGAATGAGTTTAAAGATTTGAATATGAGTAGAGTTCACACTTAAAAAAAAACTATTATTTTGGGGTTCTCTTGAAAAATCAAAAGATTGAACAGACTTCTGAACCTACATTTCTACTTGACATGAAATGGCTGGAATGAAGTAGCAGCTGCCCCCTTAGCCAGAGGCCAGCTCTCCAGTTTATCCTTCAGCCTGCTTCACTCACTCAGCTGCCTGGCCTCCTTGCTTTCTCTGGTCTGCATAATGATTTCATCTTGTTGATATTTTATATCTTGTCATTAATACATTAATAACAACAATTTACTTCAATAGATTGATTTGGGTGAGCAATTGTTAGACTGTGTTCTATTTTTTTTTAAGATTTTATTTATTTATTCATGAGAGACACAGAGAAAGAGAGAGGCAGAGACACAGGCAGAGGGAGAAGCAGGCTCCATGCAGGGAGCCTGATGTGGGACTCTATCCCTGGTCTCCAGGATCAGGCCCTAGGGTGAAGGCAGTGCTAAACCACTGAGCTACCTGGGCTGCCCTAGATTGTGCTTTAATTGTGGTGAAAACTACTAGTCAACTCTATCTGAAACCCCCTTTCTCCACAGAAGTAATGGTCCAATTAAGAAAGAATTGAGATACATATTTTATTTTTAGCTTAATCATTTGTTTAGTCATAATTCATATTCTGAATAGGATGATAATCTATCACAAACACAGTTTGTTGAATGTGAACACTTTGCTTTCCTATTTCTTCTGGATCAATGCTTGCTGGGCTTGTGATTTCCAATTCCTTTTTATGGATTAAGAGCACTTTATAGACACACAGGTCTCAGGCAACACAACAAGCCTTGGGTTGATAGCAGAACAGTTTACAGAAATATAACCTACTTTACGGTTGTTGATCATTTGCTATTTGGGGGAGAGGAGTGAAGTAAGGTAGATTTGGTGTGTAGCTATGAAAAAAGAAAACAATAAACCTACCTTAAATAGAAGATTGATCCCCATATAGCTCCTTTGTGCTTCTTTTAAGATGAACATAAAATTGTTCCACAATTGATGTTTGGAATATTAACTACTTTGAAGGAGGAGATTGTTGGGTGAATTTTAAATGACAATTATAAATGAATTGTTTCTTTGGAGAACTCTGCACAAATATCTAAGGGTTGACTGTCAGAAGTCTGTATATCATTCTAAAAAGAAGGATATAAGTTATCAAACTTAAAATGGATCAAACTGTCTACAAGAAATTATCTCTTAACACCCTGAACAGGTGAAAAAAATAAATATAAACATACCTAAGGCCAATTAACACTCACAAAATGAAAGCACGTTATATTGAGAGCTTTATCTTTTTTGTTTGCTTTTTTCTTAATGGAGCAGAGATGAAAGTATTATTTTTTAGAGTCACCTGAAGGTTTTAATGTTCCTGGGAAATTTACTTATGTATGTAATGGCAGCCTTTCTATTGCTTTTCAGTTTACATGTCTGCATTTATATAGAATTTACATAAATTCTGTGCAAGAGAAGTTTTAAGTGGATTTATAAAAACACCAACAGAAGTACTGACATCATTTTTAATTTTTATTATTGATTTGGATGAGAGGAATAAGCTATAAGCTACTTGCTCAATTTTAGGCTTAAGTCAGCTCTTGGTATCAGGAAATAAACAGTAGCATAATTACAAATCCTAGTGAAGACAGAAAAAAATCTCTCTCCTGAGATAAAATATGAGAGGAATTTTTTTTTAATCACCTTGAAGGACTATCAAGGGAAGCTGTCCCTGGAGAAAAATAAGTTATTGAATGATGTGGGCTGCAAGAAGCCCACTGGAGAGGATCAGCATTGTCCTCACTCACCCAGCTACAAATTCCCACCCAATGCTAGGAAATGGGAATTATCCTCTTGTCCCAGATCAGGAAACTAAGGCTCAAACAGGTTGATCGACTTGCCCAAAGTCCATAAGCTAAATAATTAGGGCTGTAGGAATTCAAGTTCAAGGTCTCCAAACACCAAAATCTGAATTGAGAAAAGCAGACATGAATATAGAGAATAGCACACCAAGAGAGAGACTCAGATTGCACAAAAATGGACAGCAGCTTAGGTTTTAAATGTGGTTTGCCGACTAGATGACTAAAAGGAAGAAGTTTCAAAAGACCTGAGGCTAAGTGGGCTGAGGGATATAGTAATTCTCTCTCCAACTCCCAGAGACCGAAGACCGAAGCCTTAACCAGGGTTCTTTGGTACCAGAAGGATACATGCTGGACAAATTCCAATAGAGCAATAAAAACAATAATGGGAACAGAGATTTATCTGTTGGAAAAATACACAAATCTAAGTGCCTCAAGCTTGCTCAAAAGGGCAGGAGGGTACTATGGACGGCAACCCTTTGAAGTGTGCATAGTACTAAGGAGAGAGTGTTCTGCTGTGGGGGTGTACTTGGGGGTTGGAAGAGATGAAACATGGACAAGAAACCTCTAAGCTGATAGCAGTAAATGTTTTTTGGAAAAGTTACAGGGTAACTCCTTCAGGCTCTGATGTTTAACTTTCCCTGACTCACTCCTTTTCTGAGATTCCAATGTCTCCTGAAGAAACTCCTGTCCTATGCAGCCCCCGCTGCTGCATGAGGAGTGCTGGTTGGATTGGCCCTCAGGGATGCTGCTCCCAGGGGCATGGCCACGGGAAGATCCACATGGGCTGGGCAAGGTGACTCATTTGCTTTTCCTTCCATGGTCATTTCTATGAGTCACATACTTTTATCCAGTCCAAAATACAGGAAAGTAACATCAAAAAGCCTAACATGTTGTTATCAAACGTTTAATGAAAAAGAAAAATCCCCTCTCATATGATCCTTAAAGAAATGTTTATTTAGTCTTTCCATGTTGTTGCTATTTCTTTGATGTATCAGCATCCAGGAGGCAGGGTGAGGAGAAGGGAAGTTCTAAGACAGAGAAAGATTAAGGTAACACTGCACTGCTGCTCTGAGGCAGTGACCAAGCTGCTGACCCTTGAAAAGAAAGGTCCAGCTCTTTTTCAATAAAAAAGGATTCCTTTTCTGAGCAAGATAGGAGTTCTAGTCAACTGAGTATTCTTCAGCTCTGTGTTTGTAAGAGCACGATGCCCACATCTGGTTAGCTGGAGACGGGGTAAGGTGATAGGCATGTAGAGCATGGACATGGACATCAGATGGATCTGGATTTGAATCTTGGATCTGTCATTTACTAGCTATGTGATCTCAGACATGATCCTTGACTACTCTGAGACTTACTTAGCTTTCAGATCTATAACATAACCATTATACTAAAAACAATAGTAATGATAACACTAACATGTCTATCACTGATGGAACTTGTATTGAGCAGGTATTCTTCTACAGACTTTACATATATTATCTCATGTAATTTTTACAACAACCTTACAGAAAGGTATTAATATTATCCCCATTTTCCAAATGTGGAAACTGAAGCAAAACCAGTTTAAAGAACTTGCCCAAGGTCATGAGAATAGAAAGTGGCAAAGGCAACATATCTGCCTCCTCAGGTTGTTGTGAGGCTTACTAGAGGTAAAGCAGCTAAAGGTGTTAGTTCTAACTAAACAACAACAATATACATGCTTTTTAAAAACCAAAAACAGGGATGCCTGGGTGGCTCAGAGGTTGAGTGTCTGCCTTCGGCTCAGGGGTGTGATCCTGGGGTCCTGGGATCGAGTCCCATATTGGGCTCCCTGCATGGAGCCTGCTTCTCCCTCTGCCTCTCTCTCTCTTCCTGTGTCTCTCATGAATAAATAAATAAAATCTTAAAAAAAAACTAAAAACAAGAAAAGGAGAACTCCCTTTCTAAATGCCCCAATTGTTACCACTTTCTTTTTAAAATAAATGAATGAGCCTCTTTACTATCAATCCTATGTAAGAGTAACCCACAGTATTCCTTATATTTGAACCCAAATTACCTATAAGTTGATGTAGATTATTTGCAAAAAAAAAAAAAAAAAAGCTGTGAGCAACATTTGATACTAGGCTAGTACTTACTTCCCAGCTTTATTCAAGAAACCTCTGTGTTCTTCCAATCAAAATAAACATGCAGAAAACACCGGAAATTTACTCTTAGTAAACATGTTTACAAATCGAGGAGCATACTTCAGAGCAAAATAAAATGTCTTCTCTACACACACACACACACACACACACACACACACACACACCCCTCTAATATGGTGTTCAAGACCGTCTTTGAAGATGAAGCTGAATAAAACTTTCTTATCCTGCATGTTAATCGGTGTATTAGTCTGGCTGCCATAAAACACCACAGGCTGGATTGGCTTGAGGAACATAAATTTACTTACTCACAGTTCTAGAGGCTGGAAAGTTCAAGATCAAGGTTCTAGCAGGGTTTGGTTTCTGGTGAAGGCTTTCTTCCTGGCTTGTAGATGGCTGCCTTCTCACCATGTTCTCACAGGGCCTTTCCTTGACACATGTGGAAGAGATGAAGAGAGCCTTATAAGGCTATATAAATCTTATCAGATTAGGACCCCTATCCTTATGGCCTCATTTAACCTTAATCACCTCCTAAAAGCCCTATCTCCAATTACAGTCACATTGGGAGTTAGGATTTCCACATAGGAATTTGATGGGGGACATAATTTAGCCCGTGGCAGTTGGTTAGTCTAATCTGAATTTTGTGTAGGCCTACATATTTCAGAGACTCATTCATGACTCATTAAAATTTTCTATAGATTGTGGTCACCACTAGACCAGTAATGGTCAAAGGGCTGTGAATCAGGTGTTTGTGTAGTACATGGACAGATTAAACGTAATAGATAAGATCTCTTAGTAAAGCAGAGTGAAAAGAGTCTCAGAATATAGGGTGGTGGTGTTCTTTCTAAAAATAGGTCTTGATGGCTATTGTGCTCCTAACAGTGAGGGTTTTTTGGAACATAAACAAGTTACCTAAAAGCAAAAGTTAGATCTGGAAAGGAAAGGGCCCATTCTGCAGAAGGAACATGTTCTTTCCAAATGGTTTGCATAATTTCCTATGTAGCTTTCATGTTACAGAAAACAAACAGGTGTTTTGGATGATTATATAGACCAAGTTTCCATGTCTCTGAAATCTCACTGGGGCCAGTTTAGTTTAAGAAGTCTTGTTAACTTTCCTTTCACATGTCATTTTAAACTCCAGAAGATATAAATGGGCTATTTTCTTGCTTTTAGACTTATTTTCTCCTTTTGATCAGGCATGCTCAAAAGTGGTGGTATCTTTGTGCACGGGTCTCAGTGGGGTAGTGGGGAAATGGGAGGGGTTGGATAAAAAAAAAACCCAGACTTTTCCAATTATGAAAATCCAGATAATGGCTTCTGGTACTCAAAACAGAACCTATTCTTTTTTTTTTTTTTTTAACAGAACCTATTCTTAAGACTATTGTCTTGAGAGTAGATTTTCTTTTTTTTTTAATTTTTATTTATTTATGATAGTCACAGAGAGAGAGAGAGAGAGAGAGAGAGAGAGGCAGAGACACAGGCAGTGGGAGAAGCAGGCTCCATGCACCGGGAGCCCGATGTGGGATTCCATCCCGGGTCTCCAGGATCGCGCCCTGGGCCAAAGGCAGGCACCAAACCGCTGCGCCACCCAGGGATCCTGAGAGTAGATTTTCAAGAATAAAAATTTATATTTCTCCCTTTAAAAGCCAAGATTTGGAGACTTGTCTTCCCATGGGATAGAAAAGAATCATTCTTCCAGGACATCGAGGCCATGAATTTGCTGTTTTATGGTGGAGGAGTGATAGGATGCAGAGGGCATATGTGAGAGTCCTGTTCCGTATAGGGGGTGGGGCCCAGGGAAGAGTCAGATAAAAAGACATCTGTAGCCTTGGTGGTATTTGAATAGGTACAGGGAGCAATGATGGCAAAGAAAGCTAGCTTTCACTTTCTTAGGATCCCAGAAAGAAACTAAATTTCCATCTGCCACGAAACCAGGCTATAGCATAAAGGATCAGACAGTGGAGGCCCTGAGGTTTTGTGCCTCGGTTTCTGTGTGGAAAGACTGTGAGCCTCCTGGGGCCCTCTCTGATGCCATGAAGGTGATGAAGCAGAGGCTGGGTTTGGATGGAAGGTGCTAAAGAGGCTCAGAGGGCTCTGGGGTGGCAGGCAGTGCCTGCTGAAGAGAGTCTGGGCCAGCTTTGGAGCACACCAGGCCCTGATCAACTTGAAAGAGAGACCAGATCACCAGATCACCTGCTCCTTAGACCAGAGCAGCCAAGTGACCCCCACCACTAAGCTCTGTCTCTTCTTTTCCACCTTACCCAAATTTTGTTTAGGCTGTTGTAAAGACATGTTACGTTCAGCAGTGCTTGTTGCCTAGAACACTGGTCTGCTCTCCGCTCACTCTTTTAATCATTCATTAAATCCCAGAAATGTGTCCACTCTCTGTGAATTTTCCTAGACCTCTTTGACTCCCATTCATTCTTCTCTCTTGGGGACCCCACAACACCCACTGAGTGAGCAACTAGTTTTGGCATTTAATCGTGTGCCACCTGGACTACTATTTCCACGTTTGGACCTTTTTTCTTTTCAGCAAGATACCCATTTCTGGCATGAAAGTACTTTTGTTTTCTCACATATAAGACTTCAAAGGAAGCAGATATTTAATAAATTCATATTGAACAAATGAAGGCACTTGACTGCCTCAAAGGGATGGCCCCAGAGTTAATTTGATTCAAAAGAAAAGTACAGGTCAAAGGAATGCTTCTTGTTTTGCCATTTTCTTGGAGTGGAAAGTCCCAGCCAGTTATCAATTAATAGTGAGTATCAACACAATTAATCTAGTGTTTAACAGAGGGTGACTTCTGAAGATAACTCCACAGACAGAGCCTATTGTGAAACAGGCTAAATTCTGCCACAATTTATTCCCCTCTCCGGTGATTAGTCTGAGGACTAATCACTTAACTCCTGTAATGCCACACATGGAAAATGTACTCTGTCCTCAGTCTCATATGAATTAACAAGCCTGTGTTCCACCTTCCAGAAACAGAGCAGGTTGATACAGGGCTCCTGGCTTTGTGAGTTTATGTGCTGAAGGATTTTTGGGTGAAAAGCAATGGTACAAACACAAAGGAACCATTATTAGGGTCATCATATTGATGTTCTCGTATTGTATCAGGTCAGGGGAGGATGAAACAAGGGCAGGACTTGGGCAAGTGACAAGACAGACTAGCAGTGGGAGCAACAGTGCTAGGTAAACAGTTGTAAATCCCCAAGGCTGGACCTTGTTAACATTTTACAGAATGCTTTGCCTCTTTTAAGCAAACTACAAAGCAAGAATAAATTCACACAACTTCTTTGGAGGTCAGTGAGATTTCTCTGTTTCTGTGGGAGATCACTAATTAATGACAAACTAATTTGTAGCTTGAGATTCACCAAGTTGGATTTAGAAACCACACACCATTTTGCTTAGTAGCTTGGAGGAGACAGCTTAAGTAGAGGTGGCACACACATAAAAATGGTTTGCCCAGTGCCTGAAAGGCAACCCCACAGTTGGGTCAAGAGAAGCTACCCATCTCTCTTTCTGGTGCCCTTTTGGTGATTTGTTTTTGTTCTCCCTATTTGGTACCTTGGCACCAAGATTTCCAAAGTTCTGAAGAGCAGCATATCATGGGTCATTTCTCCATGGGGGTAACTGAGGAAGGAAGGAAGCTTATTCTCAAAGTACATGCAGCAAGGGTGTGATTTGGGAAAGAATAAAAAATATTACTATTTTGGGATCCCTGGGTGGCACAGCGGTTTGGCGCCTGCCTTTGGCCCAGGGCGCGATCCTGGAGACCCGGGATCGAATCCCACGTTGGGCTCCCGGTGCATAGAGCCTGCTTCTCCCTCCGCCTGTGTCTATGCCTCTCTCTCTCTCCCTCTGTGACTATCATAAATAAATAAAAAAAATTTAAAAAAAAATATTACTATTTTGTTGAACATAAATGGTCAAGGAGCTAATTTCAGTAAGAAATTCCAGGCAGAAGTTTCAAACTGTCATGGCTGCCAAGTATTACGGGGCAAGATGTCACTAATTATCAGTGGACCAAAAACACTGCTAATTTTTCTTAGGAACATTTCAACTTTGGAAAGGGTATCAATTTAAAAATACGAATTAAAATGCTGTTTTTGAGATGAAATGAAGCCATAAGGAATTAAACAATTGTTCAATAAGTGGGATTTTTCTCAAATAATTGTTGAACTGTCTGTTCTAGAAAGGACTACGTGTACAGCAGAGAGGGAAAAGGATAAGGAGGACAGCAGTTGAGGAGGAGGATACGTCTGAGGAATGTGGCCTCAGGACATTCAGGAAAATTGCTACAAAGGAAAAATCTGACAGAAACTGAAGAAGTGAACTTTAATCTCTTGAGGTGTCTGGGCCAAAACACATTTTATGACTTTGATGATAAAAAAAATCTATATATTTTGAATGTTAAGATAATGAAGATCAAAGCTACAGAATTTGGATGAAAAGAGGATTGATTACTGTCATGTTTCACATTTTGGAAAAGAAATGATAGGGTAACCTTTGGATCAGAGTGGCTGAAAAGTGGATATTTGGTGCCTGAAAAAAAAAATCTTGCAAACATTCACATAGAAAATTCATCATAAGAATGTTGAAAAACACATGAATTCATGCTCCATGGAATGAAGCTTAAAGCAGGAGTCTGCCATTAATGAAATACCTACTATAAGTAGGATTATTTATCCATTGTTTATAAATCCATAAGATTATTAGATTTAAAAAAATCCCACCTTAAATAATAAGACTCTTTCCCATCTAGTTACTTAAGGAACTACTTTAATATTTATTGTCTAATTAGATTCACATCAATCCTGAGAAATGGGTTAGAGCAGGTTTTATCTCCATTTTATAGTTGGGAAGTCAGGGCACAGGGAGATTATGTAGCTTCATAAGGTCAAGTATAGTTGATAGCATTTCCCAGACCTTGGTCTCTGGACCCCTTAACTGGGACTCTCCACCAGACTATAAGTTGCCCCCAAACCAATTCCTTTGAAATTCTCAAACCTACTGATGCATGAATATCAAAACAAAACTTGAAAGGGCCTCAAGTACAAAGGTCACCAAGAAATACTAACTACAGCCACGTTCAAGTCTTCTCCAGGCTTTCTTTAGGATGTTCGAATGAATTTCTATGAATGGAGAGGAATTTCTATGAACTACCTGGGGTCTGAGACAGGTAACTCATTGATTCACTGTCTGCTGGGATGTCTTTTTGAGAAGTCATTCGACTTCAGAAAGCAGGGCCTTTAGGGTATAGGATGAAAGCTTTGGGGAACCATGGGTAAGACACCTCCAACATGTCAGACTACTGAGACCAAGCAACTGAGTGAGATTCTAGAGAGCTCATGGGCTCCTGAGGTAGTGCTTAGAGTTTGGTACAGAGAAGCACCTCAAAATGGGGATGGGCACAGAAAGAGGCAGTTAGAGAAACCCTGAAGAGGGTTTTTGTTTGTTTTGACTTCTGCCAGTCCTTGGGAACAATGGGACTGTAATAGCATAGGTCTTGAGGACAATCCATGCTGGGATTTGGAAGACCTGTGTGATTCTAGACAAGGCATATGATCTTCCTGGGCATTCACATCTTCATTATAAAAAGAAGAAATTGGACTCAATGATGTCTTTTCCACTTTAATGTGTTAAGTCTTAATTTAGCACTTAGAAAGATCTTCGGCTCACACAAAGTAACCCCATCCAGAAGGAAATTGCCTTTACAGTCTGTTTCAGGACTTGTGGAGGGATTTACAACAGTTAGTGATGGCCTTTGTTGGCTGCCAAATGTCTGGAGAATCCTAGAGCACATGCTGGCATTGTCCTAAGTTGGACAAGTCAGGAAAGAGCTGCAGAGGCAAAGGAGGGACACTGTGGGAGAAAAGTGATTCAGAAATGAGACTGTTCTCTCCATCCAACTCTCAGTCCCCAAACTGGGCTCCTATTGTGGAAATTAGACCTTTGAGCAGTGTTCCATGTGTTTATTCTACTTGTATCAAAGAGGCTTTCATCTCCCTAGAGCAAATTATTAACACATTCCACCAAAGATGTGAGGGTGGAGGCCTGGCCTTGGAAAAAAAAAAAAATCACATCATAATAAAAAGCTGCCCGAAACATGAACTTAAGAAAAACTAACATAAAAGCCCCACTTTTAATGACAGTGGTTGGCTAGATGCCAAGGTCCTTGTGCCCAGAGGAGCATGGCTGGCTGATTCCTTGTCTGTAGGCTGACCCTTCTGTGCCCAGGAATTTTCCATGCCACGGCCAGTGGTATGGGAGGTGGGGCCTTTGCAGGTTCAACAGGTTGAGGCACTCACAGTCAGTTGCCTTCAATGTTAGCTGGAGACCAGATTTTGTTGGCTGAATGAACAGTGACTCTCAGTTCCAGGCAGTAAATCTTTGCTTTTTGAGATTATCTGGCTGGGGGGTGGGGAGAGAAAAATAAAGAGTCAAACAAAAAACACACAAAAAGACCAACAACTTTCAGGTATATCCAAGAGGAGAAACGGACTTAAAATAAGAGCAATGCCAGTTTCACTAATGATTATTCCCCAAGGCAAAAGGCTGTGGGGAATAGTTTCTAGATAGAGATTATGCCATTTTCTACAGCAAGTTCCTTGATTTACAGGAGCCACTTGGTCCTGAGGCACATCCTTTGAGATATAGCTCAACTATATGTGGAAAAGGGCCTTGTGTGAAAGAGAATAGAGAGAATTATTTACTGCTGTTGAAAACCAGGACCCAGGGTCTGACTTTGTTTTTGTTTGCCTTTTTAAAAATGTTTCCTAGTAACACCAAGATATATGATATCACAAATCTCTTGTTCAGCAACTATGACAACCAAGATTATGAACAGCCGCAGACATGTTGTCTGACATTAGCGTTAGCTTCCCCTATTGGGGATAGAGGAGGAGCAGAAAGAATTGAGAAGCTGAGAATACAAGAGGGATCTGAAATACTACATCTAGTTCAACAGCCAGAGCAACCTTGGGTAAAAGTAGTCTAGGATTTGGAGCTTGGCTTCACCATCTGAAATTAAGCATTTGTGTGTGAGGTGAGGAAGACCTGCCGACCCTAGTGAAGATGGATGAATATCCTTTGTTAATGATCCAAACCACTTCTATAACAAGAAAGGCTCTAAAAAATCCCACAATTTCACCTATAATACACAAGGACTTTTTAACTTGGCTAATCATAAGAAACACCATTTGCTCAGCACTTGACTGCTTCAGAATGCCTCTTAAAACAATATCTGTTACTGCAATTAATATATTCAGAAACTGAATATAATTTTCTCAAGTGTCCCCCTCCATCATTACTCTATAACCTGAGGTTCTCAATGAGGGACCCTTCTCCACCACCTTCCCTGCCCTGGGGCTAGGGGAGAGCTTTGGTGATATCTGGAGACATCCTTTTTTGTTGATGAAGGGAAAAAGAGCCATTGGCATCTAGTGGGTGGAGGCCAGGGATATTGCTCAACATCCTAGAATGTACAGGCTAGCCCCCCCGAATTATAAAGAATTAGCCACCCCAAAATTTTAATAGCACCAAAACTGAGAAAACCCGCTCTACGTATTCTCATCTTATAGTTCCTTTTTTGACTTCAATGACCATTTCTGTACTGACAACTGTCAAATTCATTATTTTTATTATTTTTCAAGCTTAATATTCCTATTATTTTTAAGATTTTATTCATTCATTTATGAGAGAGAGAGAGAGAGAGAGAGAGGGAGAGGGAGAGAGAGAGAGAGGCAGAGGGAGAAGCAGGCTTCATGCAGGGAGCCCAACGCAGAACTCGATCCTGGGTCCCCAGGATCACACCCTGGGCAGAAGGCAGGCACTGAACCACCAAGCCACCCAGGGATCCCTATTACTTATTTTCTAATTGAGAAACTTTACCTGGTTATTATGTGGGAACCTCAAACACAACATGTCAAAAACAGATCTCCACCTTCTATATTCTGATCTCAATCACAGGCCCTACCATCTAGGGTTTCTCAAGTTAAAAACATGATTGCCATTCTTGACCTTTTCCTTCCTGTTCTATTCTTCACTCACTCCATTCCAATCATTTGGTAAGCCTTTTAAATACACCTGAGAAACATCTCTTGCAATTGGCCTTTCCTTCCCATTGACATCATTTTAACATTAGTCCTTACCATCTCAGGATAAACTGTTGCCTTAATTTGCAAATCATGCCAGGCACTATTCTCAGCATCTATGAGATATTGTTATCATCTTCATTTTGCAGATGAGGGGAAAAGGTAGAGAGTAAAGCTACCTGGTTAAGAGACCAGGGGTTGATCTCAGACAGACTCTTTGCTGTCAACTACTACACTCTGCTGCCTTCTGATTCATCATCTTAGACTTGTCTTCCATCTTTTCCTACATGAATCAAGTGTTCCAATTACCCTGAAGATCTCCTTCCTCTTGGAACTTTCTAGAGCTTTTCATATTTCTGTGTCATTGAATATATTTCCCCCACCTGGCCTACCTTTTCTTCTTTCCTACTGGCTAGCTCCTGCCCATGCTCCAAGGGCCAGCTCAGGTAAAAGATCTTCAAAGCCATATATCATGACTTATACATATCTTCAATATCTAGCACTGTATCTGTTTCATAATAGGTACCCAAATATTTGCAAAATAAAATTACTTTTTCTTTCTACTACTTCCAAAGCAAAGTTACCTTGAAAATGTTGTCTAGTGAAAACAACTCCATCAGTATCCCATCCCCCCTCAAGGCAACTTAGAAGTTAATGCTTACATATAGGTATATACAAAGGTGAGCTTCTTTAAAATATATTCACTCTATGAGTTGGATATATATATATATTTTATTGACTATATGAGTTTAAAGAGATGGCATCAAATGTTCTGAAAGGCACTAAACACTTGTAAGTTTTGTTTATGACCCCAAACTTCTGCTCCAGTTTGAAAATAAATCTCTTGTCTTTGACCTGATAAAACAAAAAATTTGTTATAACAGAGTGCTGTGTTTCAAATAATTCATTTCAGAGTAAAGAAATTCAAAAGATATTTACATTGGAAAGTCTACCCCAAGTTCACGTTATTTTAACAACTTTCCTCTCCCTCTCCCCTGTCCCCCGATACCATGAAAGCTTGAAGTAAAGACACAATATGGTGCAAGGATTTGAGGTCATTCTAATTTCTGTTTCTCTCATGACTAGCATAAGGCATATGGGAAGACAAATATTTCCTGCAAGCACCATTTTTTGTCATCAGCAGAAGAGGGAATTATATAGTGTAGAAAAAAATTCTTTAGCAAGACCATAAAGCCTTTATGCTTAGAAACAAAACCTGTTTATCCCTTGGGCCATTAATTCTCCCAAACCATTAGCAATTGGAAGACAAGGACAAAACGGAAAATAAACAAAAAATGTTTAGAACTAGGGGAGTGGAGATTTGCACACCAATCAAATTAGGCCCCAGACATGATTATAGTATGAACAAAACTTTCTTCAGAGGCTGTGAGGGTTAAAATGATTACTGAGATATGGCCTTCAGAAGATAGGGGGAAATGTAATAAAGGTCATTTTTTTCCTGTAGCTTTTAGTAATATTAGAGTCAAATCCTGCATTTTTTTTGTTAGCATGACATTTTTACCTCTTTTCTCACCAAATAGGGTAACAATTCAGGATGAGCACCTTTTTATGGATAGTTTCAGTATCCTCTCCATAGCATCTTTGTCTCTGAAAACTCATAGTCAAGGTGGAATTATATTCATTAGTACCCCTTTTGAGGGCTCCTGAGGTATCAATCCCAAACACAGTAGTTACATGTGCAAGAATCGCAAATTAAATCTGTATATACTTAGGGAAGTGAAAGGTTGTTATGAACATACCCAATCAGTCACAGGGCAGTACCAGCTTTGTATGAAGGTGTGTTTTCTTTAGGTCATTTCCTATACGGCTTTGTGGGAAATTAGGAATGTTCTTCTTTTGGGCATAACTCCTTCACTCTAAAGAACAACTAAAATGGTTGTAGAGGCTGCTCTTAGCTTTCTAAAACCAGGATTTCCATATTAACTTGTTTTTCATGGCTATTCTCATTGCCCAGAATGTTCCCTCACATCCTTCTGTTTTTCACTTCATCTAGTTCATTATCACTTCAATCTCAACTTAAAATCACTGCATTTTGTTGGCCTAAAAGATAAACTAGGTTACAGTTTTTGTTTAGACCATTCATTGTTAACCTCGGCTACACATAAAAACAACCTGGGGGAGCTTCTAAAAACTACTTATTACCAGGCCCACCCTGGATCAATTAAATTTGATTATCTAGGAGGGGCATGGATAGCAGTACTTTAAAAAATAGCCCTTGTGGTATTATGTAGCTCATGCTGAGAACTTCTGTCTTAGAGCATAACTCTCTTCGTATCTCCATAGGAGTTCTGAACTATTTGCAAATATTGGTTCACTGTCTTTGTCACTATATCATATAATAAAGTGGGGAATTTTGCTCACCAGGAAATCCCAATGTGAGAGAAAGAACTCATTTTCCAGGTGTGTGGTTCCCTCTCTAGGAGCAGGAGGGGGAAACTAGGTGGTGAGATGCTTTCATGGATCTTCTGGGTCTTCTCTAATCAAACCACAAGAGACTATTAACTCTAGGAAACAAACTGAAGTTGCTGGAGAGGAGGATGGTGGGAGGATGGGGTAACTGAGTGATCAGCATTAAGAAGGGCACTTGATGAAAAAAAAAACAAAAAAAAAAAAAAAGAAGGGCACTTGACGGAATGAGCACTGGGTACTATATGCAACTGATGAATCATTAAATTCTACCTCTGAAACTATACACTATATGTTAATCAAACTGAATTTTTTTTAAAAAAGCAAAGATCATTTTTAAGTTTAGTTTGAGTTGCTAACTGTGTTTGTTTGAACGTTACTCCATGAAGAGACTGTATAACACGGATATTGAGTCAATAAATGAGTGAATAAGTGAGGGAGGCGGGAGTAATTGAGAAAGAAATACTTTTTACATCTGATTCAACCTCAAGTTTCCACATATAGGCTCTCATCATTAATACATTTTTTAAAAGATTTTATTTATTTATTTGAGAGAGAGAGGGAGAGAGCAAGAGTGAAGGGGAGGGGCAGAGCAAAAAGCAAATTCACCACTAAGCAGGGAGCCTGATGCAGGACTTGATCCCAGGACCCTGAGATCATCACCTGAGCCGAAGGCAGATGCTTAACCAACTGAGCCACCCAGGCGGCCCTCCTTAAGACTCTTTTAACAGACCTTTTTTTTTTCATTCCTCACAGACATTGGCACATGTATCTAACTGCATATTGAACCTCTCCACTTGGAAGTTTAAAAGATGTTTTAGACTTGAAGTTCAAAACTAAGGAGGATTGGAAGCTCAGTTTTAGATGGATTTATTTGGGTATTTGTTATGG